CCCTTGTCTGACTCCTGTGTTTACTCCAAACGCCTCGCTGAGTTTTCCGTTGTGGATCACTTGACATGTGCCGTTGTCGTACAGCTGTTGAATAAGGTTGATGAATATTTGGGGTACGCCGTAGTACTCGAGTAGTTTCCAAATTACTTCGCGGTCAACGCTGTCGAAGGCCTTCTCAAAGTCTATGAAGTTGAGGTAGAGGTTTGATTGCCATTCCATGCTTTGTTCGATGATGATGCGTAGAGTTGCAATTTGGTCAGAAGATGATTTGCCTTTCCTGAATCCAGCTTGTTCTGGTCGGAGTTCTGTATTCAGTGCGTCCTTGATTCTCTCCAGGATGATGCGACTCAGGATTTTACTTGGCGCCGACAGGAGCATGATTCCTCGCCAGTTCTTGCAGAGTCCTAGGTCGCCCTTCTTTGGTAGTTTCACTAGGTAACCTTTCCTCCAGTCAGTAGGCACCTTTCCCTCTTTCCAGATCTTTTGCAATAATGGAGTCAGCATATCTGCTGTCGTTTCTGGGTCCGCTTTCAGTGCTTCCGGGGGTATTCCATCTGGTCCAGCTGCTTTTCCAGCTTTCAGAAGCTTGATTGCATTCATGACTTCAGTTTTCGTTGGAGGATTGGTGTCAACTTGCAGTTGTGTACGTGCTGTTGTTGGTATTACTGGACGGGTTGTAGGTGGTGGTCGGTTCAAGAGTCCTTTGAAGTGGTCCGCCCATTGTTTAATCTGTCTTGCTTCCTTGGTAATTGGGTTCCCTTGGCTGTCTTTTATAGGTTTCACTTGTGTTGATCTCTTCCCGGATAGAGACTTGGTTATCTGATATAGTGTCCTCAGGTCCCTTTTGCCTGCTGCCTTCTCAGCTTCAGTAGCCAGGTTGTCGTAGAATTGTCTTTTGTCCTTCCTGGCACTCTTCTTCACTTCTTTGTCCAGTGCTGTGTAAGTTGAGGTCAGCATCTCTTTCTCTTGTCCATCTTTGCATTGAATCATTTTCTCTTTCACCATTCTCCTCTCCTCTATTAGCTTCCAAGTGTCCGTTGAGAGCCATTCCTTGTCTTGTTTCTTCTTTCTTCCTAAAACCGTTGAGCACGTTTCGTTGAAAATTACCTTCAGAGAGTTCCAGTGGTCTTCCACGGATGATTCCTCAGTGGTGCCACGTAGTGTTTCCTGCTTTGCTCTGACAGTTGCAGTGGAAATGTCCTGTGTGATTGTGTCCTTCAGTTTTTGCGTGTTGAACTTGCATTGTGGCCTATCCCCAGGTATCCTCGAGGCTTTCAGCTTCACCTTGAAAGTCCCTTGTACTAGATAGTGGTCTGAACCCACATCTGCTCCTCTCCTCGACCTTGTGTCCAGTAGGCTCCGTCTCCACTTCCTTGAGATTGAAATGAAGTCTATCTGGTTTTTGGTGTGTCCATCTGGTGAAATCCATGTTGCCTTGTGTATATCCCTGTGTTTGAACACACTGCCACCAATCACCAAATCATTGAAGGCGCAGAAGTCTGAGAAGAGTTCACCATTTTCGTTCATTTCACCGAGGGCCTCACGACCCATGGTGAGTTCTCTTCCTGTATTGTCTCCTCCCAGTTTCGCATTCATGTCACCCATCAGGATTTTGATATCGCTCTTTGGGACGTTGTCCATTACTGTTTGTAGTTGACTGTAGAAATCCTCCTTCTTCTCATGTTCTGAGACGTTTGTAGGCGCGTAGCATTGAATGATTGTAACCTTTTTTCCTTTTGAGTTGAACCTGGCTGTCATTATCCTGGAGGAGATTGGTTCCCACTGCATGAGAGCTTTGGCTGTTGTTGGTGACATCATGATGGCTACTCCCTCGGTGTGCTCGTGATTGTCCTCTGGGTGACCGGAGTAGATTATTGTCTCTCCAGTTGACAGTTGGCTCCTTCCACATCCGTTCCATCTGCTCTCGCAGATTCCTAACACTTCTATTTTATATCTCCTCATTTCTGCGGCTACCTGAGCAGCCTTCCCAGCTTCGTACATTGTACGAATATTCCACGTCCCCAGCCTTATTTTTGCTTTCATTGAAAGAAGGCACATCGGCTGACTGGCTTCTCGAAGGCTTTCACCAGCCTGCGTCATTTCACTTCCCCGATTCCAGCGAAAAATAAGGTTATTGTTTGTATTTTTAGAATTTTGAATATATTTGTGCGTTGAAGTTTTAGTAGCAATTTGGTTAAGTTTTGGGGGTGGAGTTGCTAGCACCACACCCCAACCCTCCCTCTTTATCCGGGCTTGGGACCGGCTAGAATACTAGTGACCTAGTAATCTAGGCGAGGTGTATGTTTGTTTTACGACAGTAATTTATTTTTCTTACTATTGTTTAACTGTGTTCAACATGTCCAGTGTGAGTAATTTTTCTATGTTGATTGAATGACCTTTCTTGTTTGATGTTACTGTCAATATATACATATATATATATATATATACTTATACGAAATGAAGATTTACTATAGTTTATGACTCTGTAGTAGCATATTTGACTATACGTATACACTTTTACGTGATTACCCGTTAATTTTATTTGTTGCATCATTGAACACATTATTCCACCTGAACAACTCAACTGGAAGAAGTTGAGTAGAGTGATAGAGCATTTGTCTTGTGCGAAAATTTGATCTGTGTTCTACTGGATTGCAATATAACTAAGTTATTCCATATGATTATTATTTATTATTATTATTGTATCCTTTAATTCCTAGAGGAACATAGGGCTTCAGCCGTGCGTCTCCATTGAGTTCGGTTCTCTGCTAGAGTCTTCACCTGGCTCCATGTCTGCCCACACGTTTTCATCTTTTCTTCACATGACCTCCTCCAAGTCACCCTTGCACTGACGACCAACTCACCGCTTCCCTTTCGGGTTCCACTCGAGGGCTTGTCTAGTGATGTCACTTGATGGCTTCCTGAGAGTATGGCCAATCCATCTCCATTTCTTCCTGCCTATTTGTTTCACAATCGGTTCCTGCTGTGTTGGTTCGCTCCCAGAGATCTCTCCCTGTTGCTAATCTTTTCTGGCCATCTGATCTTGAGTATTGAGCGAAGACAAAGCTGTTAATGAAGGTCAGTAGTTTGTTTGCGATGCTCTTTATGACGCGCAGTGCAAGTCTCTGATCCGTATAGTAGCACTGACTTCACATTGGAGTTGAAAATCCGGATCTTATTTTTGATGCTGAGTGTTGTTGACCTCCACACAGACTTGAGAGTAGTGAAAGCTTGTCTTGCTTTTCCGATTCTTGCTTTGATATCCTAGTCAGTTCCGCCTGCAATTGAAACGATGCTTCCCAGTTAGGTAAAAGACGTTGTTTCTTTCAGGTTCCTCCCATTTATGCTGATTGTTGTCTGTTGTTGTTGTTCTTGTCCAGGAATCTTCATCACCTCTGTCTTCTCCATGTTCACCTGAAGTCCTATCTTCTCTGGATGCTTCTTCTGCCAACTTGTTGCTTTTCGCTTGCATATCTTCCAGTTTGTGGGAAATCAGACATATATCATCGGCGAAGTCCAGATCCTCCAAGTTTTCTGTGTGAGTCCATTTTATGCCTGTTTCCTCATTGCCCGCTGTCTGTCGCATTATCCAGTCTACTGCAATCAGGAAAATCATTAGCGATAGTAGGCAGCCTTGTCTTACTCCCGTATTCACTTCGAAGGATTCCGTGAGTTTCCCGTTGTGGATTACTTGGCATGCAGCATTGTCGTACAGCTGTTGGATGAGATGTATAATTTTCGGTGGCACCCCGTAGTAGCGAAGTAGTTTCCAAATCACCTCTCGATCGACGCTGTCAAAGGCCTTTTCAAAGTCGATGAAGTTGAGATAGAGAGCTGACTGCCATTCCAAGCTTTGTTCAATGATGATCCGTAATGTGGCGATCTGATCAATGCATGACTTGTTTCTCCTGAATCCAGCTTGTTCCGGTCGAAGTTTTTCATCCAGGGCGTGTTTGATCCTTTCCAGGATGATGCGGCTTAGTATTTTGCTTGGGATGGACAGGAGCATAATTCCGCGCCAGTTCTTGCATTGACTTAGGTCTCCTTTCTTTGGTAGTTTGAAGAAGTATCCTTTCTTCCAATCTTCAGGTACTTTGCCTTCTTTCCACACCTTCTCCAGTAGTGGCGTCATCAAGTCCGCTGTTGTCTCTGGGTCCATTTTCAACGCTTCTGCTGGGGTTCCATCTGGTCCTGCTGCTTTTCCAGCTTTTAGCATCTTGATTGCCTTCAGGACTTCTGATTTCGTCGGGGGGTTGGTGTTCACTGGTAGCTCTGTCTCCGTTGTTGGTATTGCTGGGCGCGTTGTAGGTGGTGGTCGATTTAGGAGTCTTTTGAAGTGTTCAGCCCAGTGTTTCCTTTGCTCCACTTCTTTGGTGAGTGACTTTCCGTTGACATCTTTCACCGGCTTGATATGATTGGGTCTTGTAAATTCTAAAGTGGCTTGTTCGAATATTTGGGTTTTATTTCAACTTCACTTTCAATATGTATATATATATATATATATATATATATATGCGTGAAATAGCGTTTACCCAATGGGATGGGTTGATCATGACTTCTTTTAAAACACACTTTACTAGCTTGCTTGTCTCTTAATGTGATGCTTACTCCCCTGAAATTTTACTGGAAAGATCTTTTTGAAGACTTATGGTGATGATTGTTAACACGAACTTATATATCACTCAGTTGAATGCTGGCTAGTTAGAACTGTTAGTTGCGCTAAAGCCAGACCTGTCTTTAGTAATAACTAATGACCCGATCGGTTGAGTGTTGTTGAGTCACCAGGAATCTTGAATGCAAATTGTACAATAGCGTGAGTTTTATTTTCCATTTTAATCACTACTCCCTTAACTAACATTTTGAGGAGTGTGTGAGTCTATGAAAACTCTTGAAGTTTTTGTATATTTTTTTTTATCAATAAAAATGATCTCCCATTGACTGATTGAAATAATATCATTTTTTCTCTCTCACCTTTTTTGGTAATAACCACATTAGCTGGAATGGAAAATGAATCCTTAAAGTTGAGTAGAAAACAAGAACAAGCAGAGTTGTTGCATCGTGTACTAGCTAGTACCGATGAGGATGCAATGGAAGAGAAACTGCCAACTGATCCTGATGGCTTGGGCTTTTTAAACAGTCGTGTAGGCCCATCAAGTGTTATTCGTAAACCAAATAAAATGTCCAGCTTATCAGGAGCAGACGATGCTATATACGTGGATACTAGTTCATCAGCTGCTCGTAAAGAAAAACTGAAAGAAAGATATCCACTGTTTCGTTTATTTAGAAGTTGATAATAGTCCATTTATGCACAGATATTTTCGCTTGTCTTTCAGAAGGACAGAATCTGTCTGGGACATATTTTGCGTACATCTTGTACATATCTTTTTCATGTTATTGTGACTTTTATGTTCACTGTAATTATGACATTCTTTCTTTTTTGCGTCTTATAAAACGACGAGATTGTACACACAATCGAATTAATTAATATATATTTTCATGTGCTACGTTTACTTATTCCTACTTGATTGATTTTCAACGAATGATTAGCTTATAGTGATTCTTACATAGAAGACCGATTAATCGATTCGTTAGTGGAGTGAGTATTTACATATTCTCCTGATTACTTTATAGTGTGCATTGATGGTGGTATATAATGTTGCCTAATTCATTTGTGAGCAACTATAAGCATGAATGAACAGCTTAATAGGAGATGAAAACGTTCACTTCTTGACGATGTCAGTATGGCTATTGCGTATCTGACTAGATTATTTTATTTTTTTACTTATCGCTTAATTTTCCCTAAGCTAATTTTTGTAATCAACTAATACAAGATGAGTGAAATATCTAATAAGTTGGGTCCTTTATGTTCAAAATAAGAAAGCAGTCGGTTTTCAGCTAATGATTTCAAAGTTTCTGCTTTGATCCGTATATTGCCACCTGAGCAACTGGGTAGCACCACCCACCACCCTCGTATAATATATATGTATGATTCATAGTGCAGTATGTCAAAAGCCTGTTTTCGCCAAAGAGAGTGCATTCTTTTGATGATTACAATATCCAAACAGTGTCTGAATAAGTCACAGTAATTATATGAAGTCACGTCATTTTAATTAAAATCATATGGATAAATAGACAACCCCACACAATTAATATTCTAATATAAAATTATGTTACTCAATAAATCTGCTTTCATGCAGCTGTGAACGAATTACACCAAGTTTGTGACAGCTGATGATAGCCGCTGATTGCTGAAATCAGACAGATTCCAGCTCAATAGACTTCAATGAGTCAGATGTAGTGTTGGCTTGTTTCGAGAAACCAGTTTCAGCTATTGGAAGATTTAAAAAGATGTAACCAAATTTTTAAGGTGAACTCTAGTTATTCTTGAATAGCGTGCTTTATTCTATCTTGCAAAGAGCAGCTTTTCATAACTCGCCCACATGGCTTATAATAACGATAAGTAATTAAAAACCCTCCGGAGTGGTGCTTAGTCAACATCCAGCATTTAATATTTTAAACCTTTTCTGGCTTTATAAGTTTGAAAGATTATTGTTGTGAGATAAAGACGTTTTGCTTCTGTTTCCGAACGGAATTGTATTCCTACCATCCTCTTGCTTCTAAAATGCTACCTCAATCTTATTTTCGAAAGGTGAGTGAGATCATTCTTAGTGTCAGTAAGAAGTTTGAGCTCTGTGAAATAGATTAAATAACTTATGATTATATTTCAGCAGTTCACACACAATGATAAGTTTTTATTTTTGGTAATATTTCGAGCAAAATTACTGCCCGTAGTCACACTAACTGTTGGAATTGTTTTGTTTTCAATTCACACATTTATGATTTGTACTCAAATATATTTAATTATATATAGTTCTTTTCTTATCCATTCAGTTTTGTGCATCCATAATTATAGTCCAGGTTGATGACAGTTGTCCTGAGTCACCCTTGTTACATGTATCCGGTGTGACCTTAATGAATACAGATTCTGTTATTAGTCTTTTTTTCCATTTGTTCATATTAGTTTTCAGAATACAAACATTGTTGCAAACAATATTGTGGCTTTTGCCCGTTGCATATGCAGCTAGCTATAGACGATTTTTTTTCTAAATTGTTGTAAGCTTGTGTTCCTGTGAGATGAAGTTTAGTTAGGTGTTCATGTTCATTCACTCTTATTTTGAGTGATCTGGACGTTTGACATATTTAGTCGGACACTCGCCACAAGATATTTTGTAAATTACATTATTTTTAGGTATTCGATATTGAAATTGCGATGGTTTATGCATCGAGATTCAGCTTGATATAAATGTGTGAGTTTGTTGGCCAGTCTTTTAATGGGAAGACCATAAGTAGAATTAATGTCGAATTTTCAATATCAAATGGGTAATAAATGGAATTATTCCTATGTATATGAGATAAAAGTCACCTACATCCACTGATACAGCAGATGCAACTCTCATATATGCCTTAGAAATATACATCAAAGAAAAGCTACATGGTATTATGCGAAAGTTATTTACAGTAAGGAAAGATATCAATGAAGCAAACGAAAATTTGAAACGAGCGATTGAGAAGAAAAGGTATGAAAGCGTACTAGAAGTTGCACTAAAACGAAAAGAAACTACCTATGAAGAAAGAAATCAATAGACGTAATAAACTCATGGTCGCAAAAAGCATGAATGACATACAAGTAACTAAAACCAATTGGATCGTAAACATGTCAGACAGAAGGCTAACAGAATCAGAGAAAAGCGTACTGATGAAAGGGATGAACTTTAATATTAGTAACAAAAGATTAAAACCTGAAGATATACCGATGGTTGATACAGCACTAGAAGCACATGACAAACAAAAAGCAGAGCTGGTACGGGCACAATGTGCCTTAACTTTTAAGAAACAAAAGGCAGATAAACTAAATGTAACGAAGGAGAACTAAAAGCACTTCAAGATATAAAAGTAGACAGATCCATTGTCATCACTCGAGCAGACAAAGGAAACACAACAGTAATACTTAACAAAACAACATATACGGAAAAGATGAATGAGCATCTACAATCTGGACCCTATACCCTAATGACCAAATCATCAGATATAATCACAAACGAAACAATGAAAGAAAGAAACAGCAAAGGTAGTTAGACAGATGAAAGAAGCAATTGGTAAGTCAAAGTCTGAAATTATACCGAAATCACGTAATATGCCTAGAATATATGGCAAGATACAACTGCATAAAGAAGGGTATCCGATAAGACCGATTTTCGATTTTAGAAACACACCAACGTATATGCTGTCAAGATTTCTCTCAACAATACTAAGACCAATAAGCACAGTTCAAAGCTAGAATAGTAGATTCATTTGAATTAGTGAGACGACTAAAAGACACCAAAACAGACGAAGAGGAAATGCTAGTCGGCTTTGATGTTAATAGTCTCTATACTAAAATACCCATTCAAATAGCCATGGAGGCACTGAAAAAGAGACTAAAAGAAGATGATGGCCTGTCTATAAGACAGGACTCAGTTATCCGTAGAAGAGATAATAAAAGAATTCTGTCTAGAAACAACATATTTCACATTTGAAGGAAAAATATGCCAACAAAATGAAGGAGTAGCCATGGGATCGTCCATCTCACTGATAATAGCTGACATATTCATGGAATTTTGGTAAAACAATGCACTTAAACCATTCAGGTCATCAATAAAATTTTGATGGAGATATGTAGACGACACGTTAGTAATAATGAAAAGGAATGATGTTGAGAAATTCGTCTCACACACATTACTGTTTAAGTTATGAAGACTCAATAAAATTCATTATGGAAATAGAGAATGAAATTGGGGAAATGCCTATGTTAGACTGCGAAGTACAGAGTAACAGATGGCAGCATAAAAACGACGCTATATAGAAAAACTACACATTCTGAGAGATTCCTTGATTATCACTCAGCTCATCCACTCACGGTAAAACGAGGGTTAATACAAGGTCTCGCAGATAGAATATGTAGACTTACAACAACACAAAATGACTGGCGAAAAGAAATGAAACGTCTTATTCAAAATGTTAATCGACAACAACTACTCAAAAGAATTTATCAGAGATAATATAAAAAGAGAGTAAAGCCGGAGAATGATAAGAAGAAGGAAGGCAAAACACAGTTACAATACCATACAAAAATGGTGTGTCTACCAGTTTGACTGCAGCAGCGGAGCCAGTTACATTGGGCGCACAATTAGGCACTTTCATCGTCGTATTTCTGAACATCATCCAGCGTGGTTAAGCAAGGGACAAACAAGATCTATTCGTAGTTCTATTTTAGCACACCTTGTTGATACTGAGCATAAGGTTGATGTGAATACTGCATTTAAAATTATTTATCGCATTCCGACTAATCTTAACTTTGCTCTACGAGTTCGCTTCTACAGACAGCTGAAGCAATCGGAATCCACCAGAAGAAACCAAGCCTATGTGTACAGAAGAAATTTGTACAGCCACTTTCCTTACCGTGGCCATCGTTACAAGACAGGACTAAGTCGCCCCCTCCCCCTAAACCTATTAAATTATAATTGCCCAAATTATTTTAATTTTATTTTGACCACTTCATCTTTAATTACGTGTTATTCTTGTAAACTTAATTTATTCTATCCATTTCTACCTTTCTGATTGTGTGTATTGATTTTCTTCGTTAATTATCAACCCATTGACATTTTGACACTGTTTAATTATTGTTAACAAACATATCACCACTTGTTTGGTAAATTGTTGTGCATTGTAAAAAATGCTATATATATTAGAGTAGAGCCAGAGATGAGGATCTAATTGAAAAGTAAATATTTCTTCGCTCAATCTTTCTGCTTTCCAAAAATGGTGCATCAGAGGCAATTCGAAGAAACCTCAAATTATTGGGACTCGAACCACGTTTAAACCGGAGAATCTAATTTAAAATACGATAAATCAACTGAAAGATCCAATAAAAATGATGGATAAAAATAATGTAATTTACAAAATATCTTGTGGCGAGTGTCCGACTAAATATGTCAAACGTCCAGATCACTCAAAATAAGAGTGAATGAACATGAACACCTAACTAAACTTCATCTCACAGGAACACAAGCTTACAACAATTTAGAAAAAAAATCGTCTATAGCTAGCTGCATATGCAACGGGCAAAAGCCACAATATTGTTTGCAACAATGTTTGTAATCTGAAAACTAATATGAACAAATGGAAAAAAAGACTAATAACAGAATCTGTATTCATTCAGGTCACACCGGATACATGTAACAAGGGTGACTCAGGACAACTGTCATCAACCTGGACTTATAATTATGGATGCACAAAACTGAATGGATAAGAAAAGAACTATATATAATTAAATATATTTGAGTACAAATCATAAATGTGTGAATTGAAAACAAAACAATTCCAACAGTTAGTGTGACTACGGGCAGTAATTTTGCTCGAAATATTACCA